GAAAGCACGCTGAAACAATGCCTAAAACCGCCTTCGTGAACGAACCAAACAGTTGCAATAACACATTAAGAGCAGCAGCTGTCCGCCGTCAAAAGTATCCGACAACGCCAAGATGAAGGCAGGGTATCGTAGAGCGGTGACTTAAGCATTATTTTGTGCTATTTTTATCATCCGTCACTCGCGGCAAGCTGATTTTGTTAATAACGCGGACGAACAGCCGCTCTGATTATTTCCTACACTGGCCAAGTGCGGACATAATGATAAGCACCGGAATCGGAAAAGGCATCGTTCTGCAGTTGCACCCAGCAGCTGCGTGATTCGTGAATGAAAACCATTAACTACAAAGGAAGGCGAGCTTTTTCCTTCCTCCATGCCATTAACTGAGCGACTGAGCTTTAGCTTCGGATCGTCTGCGGCTCAAAAGCAAGCCAGTGGCAAAAGCAGAGCCAGGGCAGTCTCATTGCCATCGCTATCGAGAAATGCGCGGATGCTTGCTGAACAGCGGCGGTTTCTGGTAGTGCCAGCACGTTTTTGAAACTTCGTTGACACATTTTCAGGCTCTGAAAATGCATCGAAATGTTAAAGATTGGGTTTACTGCATGGCAATTAGTATCTGAGCCTGGAATTGTATCGTAAAATTTCGTTTAAGCGAGACGATCGAGCGAGAAGAAAAAGTGTTCGTTGTGGTGACAATATTTATGCATTGACTCCTATAGACTGCTGACGAGGAATTGTAAATTTTTCATTATAGCACAAATTTCGTAGTAGCGTAGTTCGACTGTACTTCTAGAGATAGTGCACGCGAACCTCGGAAGCCCTAATGAACCTTGGTGTGTAGATTACAGATGGCATTTGACTTCCTTTTCCTTTTCCCAGCATTTTCACACATTCTGCTGTGCTCAAGGAAGAGTCACTGATGCAAGCCACATCCTTGCAATCACACATCTTCTGGAAGCTGGAGAAAACCCAAAGAGGAAGCGGATGGGCTTCCTCTTTATCCTGCAATGTCAGCATGCCTGACTGTTGGGAATGTGCCTGTCCCAATGGCACAAGAAACTCCCACATTTTGAACAAACAGTCCATTTGTGCAGGCAGAGCCAGAAATCTGCAAAAATGCCACTAAAACACCACCGCAAGAAGAAGATAATAACAAAGGTCAAAATTGGGGCAATTTGGCCCTGTACATCAAATTTAACAATTTACAGTGAAAAAAAAAACACAGGCAAAAAAAGCAAAAGACTCTTCTGTTACTAGTTGTTGTTTACCTCTTTGTCCTTTCTGACAAAGAACACTGGTTTTAACATTTTCGTACTACAATACATGTATCGCAATGTGTTCAAGTCGCTTTCACCGCACTACTTGGATGTCACGTGAGAAAGCATAATAAAATTGCCACGGGGCGACTACTGTTCGGCATCATTTGGTCCTTGAGTTACATGCGCGCACATGCAGTTATAATATTGCAAAACAGTGTAAAGATAATGGACTAATACATGCTGGACAATGAAATATGTGAAATGTGAGAGTGTGTCCTTGAAATGTTGGTGCAGTGAATGGTGTGATAGTGTGGTGTGTGTGCGGCAATGGAAGGTGATACACCAGCTTATGCAAGAGTGATGGCAAGTGATCTCACCAGCAAAAGAACAAAAGGCTGCATCCCTGAAGAAAAGAGCAGATTTTTGAGAAAAAGCTTTTAAAAAGGGGGCCAATGTCATGGGTAAAACAGCGCGAGGCGCGTACCAAATGATGGAATGCGGCAATTGTGCGTGAGGCCCCCAACCGACAGTGCACATATGCGCAACATTCACGCACGGGATTGGCTGGAGGAAAGCCTGTGGTACCCAATCTGAGGTGTGGTGGAAAATCTCTAGAGGATAAAGTGGCATTATTGTCCTGTGGAGCGCCAAATGAGGAAGGTGGAAGAAAACAGTGTTGCTCTCACGGTGAAGGCTTGTCTAACCTGGATATGAAGGTGGCGGCGCGAGGGTGCCAGAAAGCAGCCGTCAATCAAGGTAGAAAGGTAGAGACGCTCTCCAGACCTGAAGCAACCTACAACAGCAGTTCCCAGAACAGCTGCCGCTGTTTGCCTTCTTCATAGGATGACAGTGGTTCACTTGACGGTTTCCGGAGTCATGTTGACGGGTAGGCCTAACCTGGCGAGACTCACGACGACTGGGTCACAAGTGAAGACAAGTTGATAATCAAGCAGACGCAGGCTGACAGCGACAATTGCGAGATGTCTTCATCGTAGTTGCGAACCCCCACCATGAACAGTAAGAACGCTTCGTATGAAAGTGAGTGTCTTTGGGCATAGAGTTTCCCATATATCCACTAGAGAGAACTCTGGTACTAGTGTCTATAGGAGTGGCAACGCATGGTGCTTCAGCGAGCATGCGAATGAATGGTGGGTGGTACGTGGATTGCATCTAATCTTTGTATCTTCGGCTCCGTTTGGCTTCGTGTGGCTTGGAGCTACTTTGTCCCGAAACCAAATTCAGCAAATGTTCAGCGGTTACACTGCACTACTTTTACACTTTAGGCTGGCGATTTCAAATCTGCTCATGAAGTTCACAACCTTCCATTCTTGCATTCCAAGTAAAACCATAACACAGCAAGAAACAAAGGCGCAAGTGCATTGAAGGCCCGCAAGTACAAAGACTATACCAATCTGTGTACTACCCATAATTCCCATGGTCGCTGAACCAATAGCACAGTCTCTTCTAGTTAATTTTAGGAAACCCTATGTCCCTGAGGAATTGCATAAAAGTTGTAGTGGCTATTGACTGGCTTATTGTTAGTTCTGGTTTTGTTGTATAGCCAAGCTTGGTGTGCATGCTGATTTAACGCGAATTTCGTGTATTTTTTTCCTCTGTCCATCTAGTGTATAAAGTGTGTTTGTCTTGCCACCATAGTCTCTTGTCTCTCTCAATGCAATCCTTAACAAGCACTCCTCGAAATAATCGTGTTACAGATTAAATGCTAATGTGTAAACTGCAGGTTATTAGTGCATGTTCCTTATCTTACCAAGGCAAGAACAGTGCCACGGCCGCTGGAGAAAAAACAATGTGTGGCCTGCTACGTTGCGTTGAACGTCAACTGTCAGCATGACGGTTGTTACGTCGCGTTGACGATTGCATCGCGTTGGCAGAGTTGACAGTTTCGGTCACTTTTTTGGGGAGGGCACTGACGCTCCACCTATCAAAGCTGATGGCACTTCGTGTTCCAATTTGGTTGCGTGAGGATTTGTGCATGTTCGTGTGCTTTTTCATGTGTTTTCTCGTCTTTTTTTTGTGCGCGATCGTGTACGGGGGGCAGTTTGCCGCACGTTTCCTGTAATTGAGTAGGATTCCTTGGTGCACGCGTGTGTGGCAGATGGTTTTTTAGGTGGTGTGACGCCACGAAGCTGCTGTGAGCCGCTGAGCAGCTCCAACATGAAAAAAGACACTACATTGAAGCACAACGTATACCTCTGGGATCTACAGTTTCAAGAAGCACATTGGGATGCATATTATTCGTAACAGATCACTTATTTTGGCACAAACGAGCGCCGAAGCAGACACACACCGTCGCCTCCAAATGGCAGCATCACATCTCCCTGCCAAACATTTCCTTCATGGGCACGTGCAACGATACAAGAAAACAAGCATCAAAAAGCACCCAGGGCATGCCCCTTACCCTCTACACACGCGACAGCCAACCAGAACACGCGAGAAGAAATTGAGACACTAATGCAGAGCCTTTTTTGGGGGCGACCATTTTCGCAGACAAACCGGCAAGACAAAACCCTTTCCCTGGCTGCCGTCGCAGTATCTGCTACACGCAGTAGAATTAGTTGGAATTTTCGTGAAACTGGAAAGGATCCAAACTAGATGTGTCGGAGGGTAGAACGAGTGGTGAACATCGGCCAAGAAGTTATGATGTTTGAGCGGTGTGAGAGAGTCGTGTAGTGCAGTCAGCAGATGTTCAAGAATCGAGTTATAATGCCTCTGGAGTACTCAGTTTAAGAGTGTCGCTGGAAGGACGACCAGTGCTGGAGTTCGTTTCAGTGTTTCTTTGAAAAGTATTCGAGACACATTTGAAGAGTTGTGGAGTATACATGCATGCTAAATATTTGGGGCTGCGAAGTGTTCTTCCGCAGTTTAAAATGTGTGAGATTGCATTTATAGTGCAGTAAGTTTGTTCCCGTTGTTTTAAATACCTTCTAAGTGATTTTGTGAGGTGTAATTGGTACCTGCCGAGTGTGCAAGTTTGTGTGATGCCTTTACTGCGAATACATATTTTGTTTGTGTCGTAAACTCTTGATTTTTATCTCGGTCTTTTAACCACAATCAGCGTTGTTGATAAAAGAACCAACATTTAAATTGCACGTGCTTTTGCGGTGCGTTTCGGTGGGCTTATACGTCAGCCCTTGGAATCTGCTCGGCGAGTGCCTCCCCATGAACAGAGTCAGTGACCCTTTTCGTTTCAGGTGAGTCAAACGGGCAGCACTCATGGAGAGTATTGAGGCCTATACTATGTAATAGGTACTCCTAATAAGGAATCAGAATCGGACCTGTGATGTGCAGCTACGAAACACGTTATTTACGAGCTACTGTGCCGTGTAGAAATCCGTGTGAAAGCATTTCTCCTGGAAGGAGTGGTGGTGCCAGAGTGGGTGCGAGGTAAATTAGGCCTGTCCCGTCGCTTCAGCAGCACGCAACAGGCCGCACCTTGTTTTTTATTCAGTGGCCATAATTGTACTGCATATAGCACTTAATTACTCAGTATGATTAATCAACTATCATGAGATATCTTACTTCTTTTCTTGCTAAAATTAGCAGTATTAAAAAAATTTTGAGATTGCTCAGCAGTTTTAGCACAGCGTGGCAAAATTTCAACAAATTTCTTAGTTTTGATGCAAAAGTACAAAATTGTGACAGCTGTCACACCCCTGTGTACATCATAATGAATGGTGTGGTGATTTATTCCATTGGTAAGCACACAAAGAGAGCACCACCCACCTGAAGGAACTCCAGAGCCCCCTCAAGAGGCAGTACCCGCTCCTGGAAGATCCGATTGTTGAGGCGGAGGCGACGATACTTCTCCTCCAACGGATGATTGGCTATGTTGTTGAGATACTTGCACAGAGTCTCCACACCCGCATCAACCTGATTGGAATTAACAACCACACTGCATGCAAGCACTACTGTGCTGCAAGAGTTACAACCTGTATCAAATTACTAATAATTTTTCTTTAAACCATGCTTATTCTTAAGAGGAGCCCCTGCTTTAGAAACATATTTTTTATTTCTGAGCAAGTTTTTATGAAGCTTTTGCAGCTTATGAATATGTGTTTCCTAACTTTAAATATCTATGCAATTATTTTTCTAGTAGGCTTTCAGCACTATTTATTTTTAAACTGTTATAAAGCGAGTCAGCATACCATAATAACCTGGAATCATTTTCATGTGAAGCAGTGAGCAAGTGATTGTCTATTCTTTGCTTTGAGCCAAGCATTACGACGTGGATCCTCATTATGTCTTACATGTGGTCTGCTGCAACATCTGCACTTGACAGTGCGATTATGTGAGTATCATGCATAACTTTTTTAGCATATTCCTCCAGAATGCTATTGATTTATTGATATGTGGGGTATAATGTCACAAAACCACCATATGATTATGAGAGACGCCGTAGCATTTTTGCCTTCATCAAAAATGCAGCCGCCGCAGCCGGGATTCAATCCCGCCACCTGCGGGTCAGCAGCCGAGTACCTTAGCCACTAGACCACCACGGCAGGGCTCCAAAATCCTATGTTTATTAGGCTGCTATAATCACCATTGATCCTAACACAATATGGCAGCTGTATTGTTGGAGTACATTTCATTTCATTTCATTTTATTTCCTTAAAGACCCACGAGGGGACATTACATAAGGGGTAGGTAATTATAAACACAAAACATAGAAGCCAAAGATTTAACATAAAAGGTGATTATTGATATTTTCTATGAACGATGATGGGCAGAGAATGGTTGCAATTTCACTGGGAAGGCCGTTCCAGTCTGGTGCGGTACGTGGGAAAAACGAGGCGGAAAAAGTAGAAGTCCGGGAGCGTGGCCGAGCAACTTGAAGCAAATGGCTCGTGCGGTAAGATATGCGTGTTGCAGGAACGATATAAGGTGGAGCATGCAAGGGACTATGAAAAAGTTTGTGGAACAATGACAGGCTGGCTATACGACGGCGAAGTTCTAGATCTGGTAAACCAGATTCTGCTTTCAATCCAGATACGCTGACAGTTGAAGAGTATGAACAGTGAATAAATCAAGCGGCCCGGTTTTGAAGCGATTCGATGGCATGTGTAAGATAAGATTGTCGAGGGTCCCAAATTGGCGATGCGTATTCTAGTTTAGGTCAAACGATGGATTTGTATGCTTGTAATTTTACATGTTGTGGAGCTAGGCGTAAATGGCGTTTAAGGAAACCCAGTGTTTTATTTGCAGATGAAATGATATTAGTGATGTGTATGTTCCATGAAAGATCGCTAATAACAGTGATGCCCAAATACTTGAATGACGGAACATTTTCTAGTGGGATGGCATTAACTGTGTATGGATACACAAGCGGCATGTGGCGGCGATGGAATGAAACGACTTTACATTTACTCGGGTTAAGTTCCATGAGCCAGCGCTCATACCATTCCTGGAGGCAGTTTAGGTTGGCTTGTAAGGATGACTGTTTTGAAGTGTCAGTAACAGTGTCATATAAAACGCAGTCATCAGCAAACAGGCGGGTAAATACCCCTGAACATAGGGGTATTTAGAGCGTGTAAACAGACAAGAAACGGAAGACAGAGGAATAAAGACGAGCGCTCACTTCAAACTAAAGTTTACTCAGAAAAAAAAAGGCCAGGTTTTATCCTACACCAAACCCGGAAACGCATGCGAGCAACTACAATCTAAAAAACCCGGAGGACAGCTATCACCTCAGAGTTCAAGAAATGCAAAAAAAAAAAAACAAAGAAAAACAAGAAAGAAAAAAATGATGTGTCTCCTATACATGAAGGCATTATGCAAAAAAAATCAAACAAGTGAGGTGAAAGACCACACGTCATGGCAAGCTATCGGCTATTGCTGGCCTGCTCTCGGCGTCGAAAACTTATCTAGGTAGAGAGAGAGAGAATTTATTTAAAGAAAGGTTGAGAGGTCGGCCTGAGCTATAGTTTGCTCTGGCCTGCTACTCTACACTGGAGAAGGGTGACTGGGAAGTGAAAGAGTGATGAATGACGATAATAAGGTAGAGAGATGATACGTTCTTATTAGGCTGGGTAACTCCACAGACGTGCATCCAGTACAGTGGCTTCTAAGAAAGTGATAACAACTCGTATAAACACATGTGTGCAGCTGGCGTCGGGCCAAGGACCTAACACAACCTCATCAGTTAATGGTCGACTAATATATCGGCCAATCGAAGATATCAGTTGCTGACGTTCGCTTGCATATGCTGGAAAGTCGCAAAATATATGTTCGAGCGTTTCTGGCAACCGACAGTGACCACGATTGGGACCTGTGTCATTACAGCCAATCAAGTGAGTGTAACACTTATCTAGGTAAGCCACTTCACAGGTTAGTAGGTCAATAGATGGCTGGCTGACATGTGTGGTCTTTCACCTTAGTTGTTTGATTTTCTGCACGATGTTTTCATTCGTAGTAGACACATGGTTTTTTTGTTTTCGTTTTCTTTTTTTTGCGTTTCTTGAACTTCGAGGTGATAGCTGTCCTCGGCGTTTTTTTTTATATTGTAGTTTCACACATGCACTTCCGTCTCCGGTGTAGAATAAAACCTGGCCTTTTCTCTGGATAAACTTATGTTTGAAGTGAGCGCTCGTCTGTATTCCTCTGTCTTCCGTTTCTTGTCTGTTTACGCGCTCTAAATACTACTATGTTCAAGTACAAACTCGCCCAAATTTTAGTGTGTTTAAAAAAAATGTTTGCTCGGCAGTAGTACAACAATGCTAGTTTCAAGACAATTATACTCCTGTCACGCGCATATAAAGGGCCACTCACCAGGCTCCCAAAATACAAAAAAAGAGCGCAATATTCTTTTCTCATATTTCTCGTCCTTCTCTGCATTGTATTGTGACGTAGACAGTAGTTCCTGTGACAGCTACTGCGTACATGCTCTCGATTCGTTGATATATGCGAAATATCACATGTGCTTTGTCTCCTCCACTGCTTTGCCATGCAGCCACCCATTCGTTCTTCTTTGTCTTGTACATCGTGCACAATCAACCGATAAAACTTAATTTTTTTGTGTTCACAACTGCGCAAATGATGATAACAGCGCGCAGCCGGGAAGCGCAAAACCTTGATAGGCTTTAGCAATTGGTGCTGATGTTGTTCATGTGCATTCAAAAAATAAGGGGCGAGGAGGATGCATTGTGTGTATGAAGGAGAAGAAAATCACCCTCTCATCTTTAAACACGCGGTGGTAAGTGAGCCTTTAAAAGCCTTTTAAGCACACAGACTTCTTTCGAAAAGAACATCCTAGAGCAGACACATGGCAGAGAGCGAACTCCTTTTCAGAAGTGGTCTGAAGACTGAACTTCTGATTCCAGCTACTTAACGACCCGTGAAGTTCAGTCTTCAGATTACTATCACGTGCCAAACCAATTGTCATAGTGTCGACTCGTACTTTGAAACATTTGGCCATGCACATTGCAGCCACGCTTTCTGCTCAAAGTCGTGGCTATGCCTAACTCAGCCCCGAACTTGGCGAGCAAGACCTTTGCGCTAATGAATATGCAAAAGCGAAGAAGCCGTAATGTGTTTCATTGCAATCAACAAATCACATCAACCGCTGGGGCTATTTAGAACCCTGAATGTTGCACATCAGTAGAGAACCACAGCCACGCTCGCCCTGCACCGACCGCTCGTAACAGCGGTGGCAGCGGCCAGCAATTTCTCGTGTCAGTGCCCCAACACGCGAAATTAAGCATGCTGCATGCCGATTTTTCATCACCATAGCTAGGCGTAACTTATCATTAGCAGACTGAAGATATGCGGCCTTCGTTCTTAAATCGGTACGTCGATATCCGCAGCTCTCTCCCCATCTCGAAAGTATGCGAAGCGATGTTTGAAGTCCCAAGTTATGAAATTTGGGAAGTCCGCAGTAAAAAAAGTCCGCTATAAAGTCCTGATCATCTTGCTGGGCTTACATTTTAGTCAATTATATTCGAATGTCTGTTGTACCAGAATCCGTAGTAAATGAAGCTCAATGAATGGAACAAATAGGGAAGTCGGCATAACGCCGCAAATTAGTATGTAGTAACCGATGCTCTGTTGAAAGTGGATCCACTGTAACGAGGTTATACCGTATCACGTGGTGACGCTCGGACTCACAGTGCCATTGTGCACTAGCAGGAAAACGTGCTCGGCATTCCAGTAGTTTGGGCGTCTATGACCAATCCCTGCGACCATGCAGCCGGCAGTGCACGCAAAAAGCATTGTCTGCAATGGCCGGAGGCAGACACCAGGTGTTTAATCAGGCTGTAGGAAGATAACCTGCACTCGTTGCGTGTGCAGAAGCACGATGACCAAGTGGACACCAGCAGCATCTGCCTTGATTTCCACGGCGAGAATGCAGACTTGCTATTCTTGCCTTTTCTTCGGTATGGTCGCCCATAACGTGTCCAAGAGCACCAAAAAACAAATATGGTAAATAAAAGCCCGGTGGTACGAGACAGACTTGTACAAGTCTTTAGTTATGTAAATGCTTCCTTAACTAATGCAACAAACCTTCACACTGGGGTTTCTTTATTCTTAAATGTATTTGAAGAAATGAGCAATGCGAAAAGTTTTTTTAATTTTGTACATTTAGATACATAATTTTATTTTCATTGCTTCTCTTTTAACTACTAGCGTCGTGCTTTTGGTAGAGTCTTTGCAAGAAAACACTAAAATGAGATACTTGGTGCCGTGTGTCTGCGCCACAATGCCTCTTCGTTAAAAGTCTTTCAACTTCGTCAAAGACCGTTAAGTAAAAGACTTGTTTCGCACCCAGTGACACTGGTATGAGATGGCATATTGGGTGAATTAATATTTGTTTATATTTCAGTGTAACAGCGCATAACAAAAAACGAGCAGACTGAAAGTAACGTCGCTTCTTTCATTAGTTGGCTCGTTTCGTTGTGCACTGTTATATTCAAACTAGTTTTAAGACATCCAATCAAAGAGGAATCTACACATTCTTCAATCATGCTGTTTAATAAATTAATAGATTCTTTACCACACTGTCTCAACAATGGGCATATATTGTACAGTAGTAGCCACTTCCCACTGAACAACCGCTCCTTACTTCAGCTTCCACCCACATCCAAAAACATCCAAATCAAGAAATGCTTTTGCTAATCATCAAATTTATTTGTATGTAACTTGACTTTGTTTCCTTTTTGTTTTCTTGCTACGTTGAAATCGACCCTCGTGTTAACATCAAATACTAAAATTCAAGTGGCCTCAAGTGCACCGATACACTCAATTGCGGCCAACTAGCGTTTCAGCCATTTCGCAATTCCTGTTGGTGCCATCCTGATTCACTCTTTGTTTCCTTTCTGAGACCCATTGCGTTTGTTTTCTTGCATCGCCTTGCGTGGCCGTGGTTGCCCTGGGGTGTTTAAGCTCTCCTTTGGCTCCCCTTCTTGCAACTTGTCGTGTTCAGTACAGTGGCCATTTCGAGAGGTGTGCCACTTTGACTGAAGTTGGTTGATGCCCAAGGCCTCGACGTGAGTGGGGCAACTATCTGCGAGTGGCGGCTTTAGCAGGGGCTCCTTTCCAGGCGTCAGCACAGCCTGACGTATGCCTCGTGACAGCCAGCACTTTGAATAGGGGCAGTGTGTTGCTTATATCACCACAGAATAATGCAGTTGCCTTGTGGCGGTCAGTGTTGGGCCGATACAGTGGAGCGAGAGAAAGAGCTCGGTCGCTCGGCAGATGGACATCTCATGAACTAAGCTCCACGCGTCATATCATGTAGGTTGGTGCTAAATACCTGGCACTGTGTTTGGAAAATAAATGTGCTTTTTCGAGCTAAGGTAAAAGCTTGGGCAAGTTGGTTCACATGCATAATAAAAACCCAGCGCAAAAACAGCAAAAAAGAGAGGAGGAAACAGGACAGAGCGCTGTCCTGTCTCCTCCTTTCTTTTCTGCTGTTTTTGCACTGGGTTTTCATTACATCTTTTTCGGGCCTTCATTGGTCTCACATTGCATTAGCACTTTTTCTTTTTCTCTATAAGCTGGTGCCCCTCGTGCTACAATAGAGTAAACATGGTACTCTCTGAATGGATATTTATTGGCTTTATGCATTAAAAAACAAATTGCAGTAAGGCTGAATCTTCTCGGGCAGTGACCCGACACCTCAGTAGCTTAGCCCACAGTAGCCAAGCAACAATGTTTGTTTTGGGAGTGAATGACAGTGGATTCACAGTCAGTGATAAAATAACCAGCAGCGGTGCGGATAATTATTTTACGTGCCAAGTGTTTTAATGACTGTGCACAAGCTTGTAAACAATGCATACAAGAAAAATCTAGTCAGAAGCATTGCACTGCACTAGGGCTCCATCAGTCGCGAAGGAAGCGCCCACCTTTGCCTGTGGCGAGTTGCAAGTGTGGATGAGGAGACAGGAGGTGAGGCCTGGCTCTTCGGCCATCTGCTCGTAGAGGAACTGGCGGATGCGTGATTGTAGCTCCTCGTATGGCAGCCTCAGTTCCGGTCCCAGCAACGGATGGCCGAACACCACGGCATTTTTGCCGGCCTGCGGTCCATGCTCGAGCTCAGCCTGTGAGCAAAAGGCAGTCCTTTGTTAACTCTTTCTGTACCGCACCCATAGGGCACTATTAGCCAGCTATTGATGGTTTGAACTGTTGCTTTCAAGACATTCTGTGCCGTCCACACACATATTGTGCCATACATCTGTCACACAAAAGAACTGCTATAGTTTTACTGTTCAGTAGCTAGTTTTTTCAACATGGTCGTAATTTTTTAGCGTGCTATGAAGTTGCATGTTCTCCTTATACCGTTGTCACACGGGTACGCTAACCTCAGTTAGCGTTGATATTTTCGATCGTGAAACTGAGAGTCACGTGACTTGCCTCACGACACAAACTAAGGATAACTTATCGCACCAAGTAAGTTACGTGACACTCTGTCTTGCAATTAAAAATATAAATGCTAATTGAGGTTTGTCATAACTTTAGTTAGTGTGCTCGTGTGACAAGGGCATAAGGGGAACCTGACCACCACCCGATGTGGCACAGTTGCACATACTTCAAAAGATCGTAGATACCAACATTACGGGTTGTTTGTAACCGATTTTACAAATTCAACTATCTGTAGTGAATTGGAGGATGCTGCTTCTTGGTGGGACTTTGATTCCAAGAGCAACGAAGACAAAGGCCTGCTTGGGTGAGCTTTGCTTTCTGCCACAGGCAGTCTCAGTTTGTGTTTTAGCACTAGCTGGCCAGGAAGAAAACTTGGAGAAATGCAAGTGCAACTAAAAAACCAAGCGCTTACAATGAGACATGATACTTTATGCTATGCTTTACATTTAGAAACTGCTCTGCCACAAACATCTAATGCTTACAGTAAATCTTTTGTCGGTGAAGTCATGCTCAATAAAAACTCAATTTTTCAGTGATGGTGCCTATTAGATGGCTGCACATTTTGTGTATACCCATAATTTTTGTTACATAATTTTTTTCTAGTAGATCAAAACATGTCTCTACAAACTGTGCTCAGTTTCCTCCTGCAATCTTGGAATAATACATTTAAAATGCTCCCATAACATGCAATTCGTAAATTAAACTTGCATGCACAAGAAGTCCAATGATTCTGCTTTTATCATGTGCCCTACATAAAATGTTAGATGCAGTAGTTGCTTGCACATACACGTACAAAACACCTAGTGCCAAGTTACAAAAAACACCCATTTTCCTCCGGAAAGAAAAGCACACGTCCTGAAGGTTTTATCAACAGGATTTCAAGAGCCGAGCCACTTAGAGCATAGTTCGAAACCCCGGTCAATACTTAAACATGGGTCGTCATACTTCTGAATTCAAGTAAATGGCTAAACAAGCTCCAACATACAGAAAACCTTGCCTTGTTTTTTCACAGGCCAACAATGATTAATTAATTTATCTGTGGGGTTTAACGTCCCAAAACCACCATTTCATTATGAGAGACGCCGTAGTGGAGGGCTCCAGAAATTTCGACCACCTGGGGTTCTTTAACGTGCTCCCAAATATGAGCACACGGGCCTCAGCATTTTCGCCTCCATCGAAAATGCAGTCGCCACAGCTGGGATTCGATCCCGCGACCTGCGGGTCAGCAGCCGAGTACCTTAGCCACTAGACACACAGGCCAACAAGATGACCCACACAGGCCCTCCCACCATCCACACCTCACCAGATCACAATATGCATGCTATCTGGACTCTCTCTTTTCTTTCAGTAAAGGCACCAAGCACGTTTTGTCAGTGCGATGTCTGAAGCAGTTGTAACATAAAGCAACCCTGAAACACTTCTTCAAGTAAGCATGGAATGAATTCACTGGAAGAGCTTATTGCCTCACGAATTCAACACCACAAAAATTTTAAGAATCCGTCCAGTGCGAGTGGAGTTACAAAGATTTTTCACACGCTGCAATCGCATTCTTTTTTTCGTTTTCGTCCCGACAAAAGCACTGGAGGCTAAGCAGGGAGAGATGGGAGGGACATACAAAAAACGTAATGCGCGTCTTGTGACCTTGAGCACGTTTTTTTTTCTTCGAATGCGCGGCCTTTTCAGATTGATTGCGCGCACATATGTGGACAAGTGGCGGCCTCCCGCGGCGATTTCTGTAACAAACGAGCGCGCCATGTTCAAATCAGCCAATGGCAGATAGATGGGCTTTTTGCGAGTGATTTTTTTGCGTATTCTGTCATTTGTTGAGAGAAGAGAAATAAATTTTTCGCTGACTTTGATACTTTATTGTGAATTCCAGGCTGCATGCTGCGCTATAATATTTGGCTCGCGTATTGTCGGGAGCCTCTACTACCGATCGGCAGCATTTTCTGACCATGCTCAAAAAGTGCTGCAGGGCCCCTTTAAGACTATCTAGTCACGATGAAAGAAAGACGACACAAATGCGTTTTCTCTTCTGATGGTGCTTGCATGCTTACCTTGTGTCATGATGAGTCATTTACAGATAACTTGCTGATGCATTTACCAGGCTCAGTTTGCACTGTTTGACTTCTCCGACAATACTAGTGAATGAGCACAAAGATTAACAGAAAGACAACCTGCCCTGTGTATTTCTGTGTAGTTTGATGCATTTCCAGCATTCTGGTGAAATAAGAGAAGAGAATGCAAACAAGCGAAAAATAAATAGATAAATCTGCGAGAACCGTCTCTCCCACTGTACGTCGGCTTCTGAAAAATATGCATCAAAGCATACTTATTTGAGCTTTTGCATAGCTCTCCAGTAACTTGAACAGTAAAAAACAAAAAGTCGACAGGGCTCATGAAGCGCCGCGCGGCACTACGTAACGCGGTTCCAAGGTTCACTACCGGCTGCCTCCACACACGTAACTGCACTCTCTGCGCTGCCACCGGCAAGCAGTCCCATCCGAAGGACGTGGATACGATGCGAAAAGAGCTCTATAACCTTCAGAAAACATCAGATGAACTTACACCGATGCACGCCGGCAATAACGGGGCCCGAGCATAAAGCTAAATTCACTGATGGATGACCGCTGATATTCCGGGGCGGTTTGACAAACTCTCGTCGTCCCCTGAAATCGAAAGTGTCTATGTCGTGTTCGGAGTCTGTGCTGTTATCATTTGAATATTTCAGCCCAAATGCACAAGAATTCCCTGAAATTCGCCATTTTCGTGAAACGGTCCTACGCGACATCGATGCCATGATTGAAACTATGCATGCTGACTCCCACGCACAGAAAGGCTCTTTAAAATCACCACACGGTGAAAAAAGAGAAACACAAAAGCGAAACTGATAAAATACTTCTTTTTTGCACTTTAGATAGCGCAAGGGGTCCAAAAGCGTTTGAAACAGGGCAAATATTGAAATTGTAAACATCAAAAACATACTATCAGTGGCGATAGGCGCGGTCACGAAAGTGTTGAGATGTGGATTGGATCTGATTTGATCTGAATTGCCATGGTTACTATCCAAAATAAACTACTACTCGCATATTCTGTCCACCTTGCCTCGACTACAACTAACAACAATGTCACCAGGACAGAGCCATACTGCAATTTTTTTTATTTCTTTGCCCTTTCACCACGAGAACATGCATGTTGGTGTTTTATTTCTCTGACCTCTGACACTTGAAGCGCGATGAAGTTCCTCAGATTCCTGCATTGAAAGTTAAGGAACACTGTGCAGATAGGGTATGACCACCACTCTCGAAGAAAGGCGTTTCTGATCAGTTCCTGCACGAGTTGGCCGAAGTCTTTTTGAATGAGCACCACAAGACGAAAAAGCCCCGTGCTGCGGATGACAGTGCAAGAGCGGCAGTCATACTGTATCTGCACGATGTTTCACACAAGAACCAAAATGGTTGTAGCATGTGCAGCAGTGTAAGGATAGTGTTTTTACTGCCGTGCACACACTGGGACAGTCTCTACATAAAATTTTGTAGACCAGCCCGGAGAACCTTTCTTTCGGCAGTCCGTCTTTTGGGTGGCTGCCCGCCACCTACATCGCTGAGACAAAAAGCTTTTCCGAAAAGATACGACAATATCGAAACGATGTGCTTCGCTACAACGCTGCAGGAAACAATCTCGTTAAACACAGCGAAAAAATAGACCTCCGCATCAATTTCGACGACGCCCGGATGACATCGAAGGTAACCACACAAAAAGAGTTCTTAGGGTCCTGACACATCCAAACAAGGCCTGGAAATATTAACTGCTCAACTGGAACCTTACCCAGTGTATACGTGCATGGTCTACAGAACCAGTTGAAAAAACATCGGAGCAACGACAACGGTGGAAAGAAGGACAATGGAGAGGGTGACAATGTCAAGAAAAATCTCTAGCTTTGGAGCCGGCTGAGGAGTTAATCCTGAAGAATGGACGGAATCAATCCAGAAATGTCTGGTCAATTTACAGTTTTTAAGTTTTATCTTTGGGCTATAACTTGGCTGAAAAGTTTATGTAATTAGTATGAAATTAGAAGGTTGCAATTGCCTGAAACAGAAAATTTTGGTGGGCTTGACAGCTGTGACACAATGCAGTTCGCTTACCCGTTCCTCCCAACAATGCAGGTGTTCCTTGTAACTGTCGCTCGCCTGCTGATGCCCGGCCTGGCAATCACTTCGTTGGACCTATCATCAAACTGCACCTTCCTGCCTGGCAATGGCGAAGCAGGCACTGTCCCGCCCCCCTACGCTACCGCTCTGACGCTGTTGCCAGCGTTGTGGCTAGACTACTCCTCCCCCACTTCACCTTGGACAGCCCCATCAAAGTCAACATCACCACTCCGAGCACCTATATATTGCGAACGGTTACCGGCGTCAGCTTGTGGGCTTGGCAGCTGTGACACAATGCAGTTCGCTTACCCATTCCTCCCAAGAATGCAGGTGTTCCTTGTAACTGTCGCTCGCCTGCTGATGCCCGGCCTGGCAATCACTTCGTTGGATCCATCATAAACTGCACCTTCCTGCCTGGCAATGGCGAAGCAGGCACTGTCCCGCCCCCCTCCACTACCACTCCGACGCTGTTGCCAGGGCCGTGGCTAGACTACTCCTCCCCCACTTCACCTTGGACAGCCCTATCG